GGAAAATTTGAAATCGCATCATATGACCCCTTTAACACTGTTGCCGAGGGTTGTTTTTCATGTCCGCGGGTTGAAACGACCCCAATAACGGGATACTTAGAGCAATCCATGAGCAGATCCTGCAGAGCAGAAGAGGAGAGAATGAACAGACACCACTGTACATCTGACAAACAGCAGATCACTGATTCATGAGCACTGAACAAAACACGCGACTCAACTGAATCATTCTTAATGAATCAACTCAACACATTTCACCTGTTTGGTGTTCATCTGCTCTTTTTACATTGACTATCACTCTATACAGTATTATAGACTAATACATCCAGGTACAACAATCATTTCTCAATTATGTATTACAATAGGCTCAATCTGTCAGTCAAACACTCAGATTGACGGCTGGCCCGCCAAATCAAATGAGGAAAGAAGAAAAATCCTGCATGCATTACAATAATTGCTCAAATACATGAACGTACAAACAACATGTATGTGTGAACAAGTAAAAGAAAAAAATAAGTACTAATAAGATCCTGGTGGATGAGCGCTGATCTTCCAGTTTTGCTCTTCTATTCTGTTGCAAACGAAAGAGCTTTCAATATAAGTGAACAATCCAATCTAGACGTGCTCCAGCTGTAAAACAGTCCCCGACTGGTCTTTAGTCATCGTCCCATCCATCATATCTGAGATCCAGTTTCTATTGGTTGAACTTCCCAACGATTACAAATTGCATTGGAAAACCCCACATCATCATCATCGCAACACGATCGGATCTTAGATGTTCAAAGCAGCATGTAATATCACTCTAAAGCCTGGAAATACACTTTTACCCCGATTTACAGTCTGGAGAAGTCCACGCAATAGTTGCCGAAAGTCAGAGCCAGTCTGCAGATTTGAATCATCGGATTTCATAGAAAATCACGTAGTGTATAATGGTTATGATGTTTTTAGCTTCAGACTTTGATTCCATCCAGTCGGAGGAGATCAAACATGTTTGATATTTTCAGCCGATTTTGAACCATGTTTTAATTTGTCATGCATCTGCAACAAGGCGCACACTTCTGCATGAGTTTGTTGTGATCGGAGTGACTTTAAGTCTGGTAGTGTGTGATCCTCAGTCGTGTAGTGTATGATGCCCAGTTTTAACTTTGTGGCTGTTTACGAAGTCAGTAAGTGTATAAAATATGTTCCATGCCATAATACACTACTTTTAAAATCTGACCAGATTTTAAAACACTAGGCATCATACACTCACCGACTCGTTCCGATCACAGAAATCACATGAAATTTGCATCCTTATTTTTATCTCATGTAGGCTATTGTAAAATGATTTTTGAAATAGGCAATGAGGTCCACCCTATGTTACGCAGGTCCACTCAATTTAAAGTGCCCCTATTATGGATTTTTTAAAATTACCTTTCATGAAGTGTAACACAGCTCTAAGTGAATGAAAACATCCTGTAAAGTTTTAAATCTGAAAGTGCACCGTGTATAGAGTTATTGTCTCTCAAAAGAAAGAGTCAACTCTGAATCATTTAAACGAGTTGAAGTCAACATGAAATATTAGCATATTTATGCCCGCCCACTTATTGGTCTTTTCAAGTTGGTCTAAATTAAAATGCAAATTCATTTTTGCCACTAGGTGCCGCTTTTGGAGCGGTAAAAATAGCGGTTTCCCCGGTAACGCTGTACACAAAGCAGCACTGCGCTCACAAACTCTGCTTTATCAGGCGTTACAGGCATGATGAAATGAAAATGAGACCAATCGGACCAATCACGCAAAGGAGGGGTTTGGAAAAATGAATCTTAAACGAATCGTTTGGGGGTCGTTGAGCAAATAAGGTAAAAATAAATGCATATTATAAAACCTTGCATGAATGTCAACCTGTTGTTGGGGACTCCTAAAACCAAAATATGAACATTTCATTACCCATAATAGGGGCACTTTAATATTGCTGGCCTCGCCACTGGACTGGATGCTTTCAAATGATTTCCTATTGAACTGCAGTGTTCAAACAACAGGGCATAGTAATAAAAACATTCGGGGCTTGAAATATAAAATTTTATCATTACTTTGTTACCAGTGCCAGTGAATAATAACTATTTTCAATACTTTTGAAAAAGTAATCAACGTTCATCCGAATGATTGAAAACGTGCGAATCGGATCGACTGAATCAAGTCAAAGCCTGACTCTCATTTAACTATTCAGCTAAAATAGTTGGAATGGAAATAAAGGAGCAGAAATAAAGTCATGAATTCCTGTATATGGGCGGATTGGCTGGATCTGTGCGTGAGAATATAGATTCTCATTTTCAAGTTTGTGATCATAATCCTTGATTTTATCTCATTAATTCTGACCTTTAGAGTACAAAGAAAGAAAAAAAAAGAATTTTCTATATGATTTTTAATTTATTTTTGTTTAATTAAGCTTTGTTTTTCATTCTGTGTTTGGTTAGCTTTTCTTGTACACTGCAAGAAATATTCTTCAAACAAGACTTTTTACATATAGGGCAAATGTTATGTCTATTCCAGAAATTAATATAGTTTTTCTCAAATATTTCACAGAACTTCTTGTGCTACACATGCAAAGAATATGTGGAGGATTTGGGCAAAATACCTCAGCATATGTTGCAGGTCAAGGGATGATATTAGAAAAATGCTGTTAAACACTTACACTTGTCAGTAATAATGTAATATTTGGTTGAATATACAGTGAAGAAAAGGAACAACATATCTTTTTTCCTTCTCTCACAAATGTAGGAATCGAATGTCAGATTGGTAGTGATTGGACAGTCATCATGGCGTCATATAGAGGTTCTCACAGCCATCTGCTGGAGTGCCCTTGCCAGTCATCAGAGGGCACTCTTCTGGACTGGTGTTTGTGTTGTTCCCATCACCCCTTGCACGTATTAGTTCTCATTGTTCCCAGCTATGTGTCATTTAGTCTTATCAGTTCCCCTATATATATACCATGTTCTGTTAACCCTTGTTTGCTTCAGTATTGTTTTCTGTTACGCTGTTTGTGGATTATCTTTTGCCTTTGTTTTCTGCTTGTTGCTCTGTTTTTGGATCTTTGTATTTTGTGGATTAATAAACTGCACTTGGATCTTATATGTTTTCCATGAGTGATCTGTGACAGAATACTGAAGCCAACATCAGATCCAGCAGTTGGGCAGTTCTCTGTTTTTCTTTTGGACCATGGGCATTCATATTCTTCCTCCAGCCACTAGTAACTAGCGGATGGCATGATTTCGGTCCTTGTTGGCTCTGCGCCAGCAGGGGATGGAGGTTGGAGGTTTTGCCCAGTTTTTTTGGACTTTAGCGGTGGGGCTGGATTACAATGATGCAGCGTTCAAGGATTTTTTTAATGGTTGCCTGGATGAACCTCGGCCCCAGTGTGAATTGGAAGCACTTCAGACTCTGGATTATTGGGGTTTTGTTAACTATCTCTGTTACCGCAGTTTAGTGGTATCACCAGGTCAGTCTGAGCCCATTGCAGTGCCCCCGGAGATGTCAGAGTCCGCGGTAACATCTCCAGAGACCCGTAAACGTAGGGTGAGAAGGAGGAAGGCAGCTAAGTCCGCTCTTGTGGTTCAAAATCTGGTGGTCCTGGAAGACCTGATTCCTGTGGCTCCAAGTCTGGTGGTCCTGGAGGGTCCGATTCCGGTGGTCTCACAGTCCACTCCAGAGCCTGCTCCAGTCCAGGAGCCTTCAGAATCCACTCCAGAGCCCGCTCCAGTCCAAGAGTTCACAGAATCCACTCCAGAGCCCGCTCCAGTCCAGGAGTTCACAGAATCCACTCCAGAGCCCGCTCCAGTCCAGGAGCCTTCAGAGTTCACTCCAGAGCCCGCTCCAGTCCAGGAGTTCACAGAATCCACTCCAAAGCCTGCTCCAGTCCGGGAGCCTTCAGAGTCCACTTCAGAGCCTGCTCCAGTCCGGGAGCCTTCAGAGTCCACTCCAGAGCCCGCTCCAGTCCAGGAGTTCACAGAATCTACTCCAGCTCCACCCTTGCTGCCTGGCAAGCTCCCTGCTCCACCCTGGCCTCCTATTCTACCTCTGTGTCCAGGTCCTCTGCCACTACACGGGCCTGGCCCGCCATCCCTCCCCCTGATCCACCTCCGTTCTGCCTCCCTCCTGGATTTCTTTGACTTTATTTGGAGCGTCTGGAATCCACCCCTTAAAGCGGGGGTCATGTCACAGCCATCTGCTGGAGTGCCCTTGCCACTCTTCTGGACTGTTGTTTGTGTTCCCATCACCCCTTGCACTTATTAGTTCTCATTGTTCCCAGCTGTGTGTCATTTAGTCTTATTAGTTCCACTATATATATGTATCATGTTCTGTTAGCCCTTGTTTGCTTCAGTATTGTTTTCTGTTACGCTGTTTGTGGATTACATTTTGACTTTGTTTTCTGCTTGTTGCTCTGTTTTTGGATCTTTCTTTTTCGTGGATTAATAAACTGCACTTGGATCTTATGTTTTCCACGAGTGATCCGTGACAGAGGTAGGATGGGTTTATTAATGTACTGTTGAAGCTGAAAATATGAGAGGCTTGTAAATTTAGTTGAATAGA